CTGGGCTCTAAGCTCCAGTTTCACTAACCATCTGTGACAGAGTGGTGGCGCCACTTGGAGAAGCAATGCGATTGGCTGGCCTGGACTACTCTGCTCTCCTCCCCACTGATAGCTCGTCTGTGGTGAGAGTACTAGTGCACTACGGCTGCCGTCGCATCATCCAGGTGGGGCTGCACACTGGTGGCGGTGGAGGGGAGTCCCCATTACCTGTAAAGCGCTTTAAGTGGTGCGTCCAGAAAAGCACTATACTGCATAAGTGTAAGGAATTTATTATTTATTATTACGATTTCTTGAAAAAAATGCAGATTCAAATCGGGTGTGTATATAATCATTACAAATTCCAAAATTAAAAAATGCTCATCTATGCAAAGATCTGCAAAAATGATAAGCAAAGATACCCTAATTACAAATATTGCACGGCTTCCTTGAACAGAATAAGAAGATAGCTAATATTCATACAGTTAATTATTGGGCAGTCAGGCTTGTACTTCAATACTATTAAATCGATACTGATAGCTCATCAGGAAGGGAAAAGGAAAAGCAGCTCTTGCCTAAACAACCTTCTAGATTCTAATGAATGTAGGTCCTTCAATGAGCAAAATAAACAGGACCCATATAATAAAAAACCCCTCCGAATGTTTACAAGGGTATCACTTGAAAAAATAATTCTTAGACTCAGAAAGTACGGACTCACTCAGTAGATTGTTAGGATCACTGCTCTTTCTAATCAACATATATTGGCCTAAAATTCAATATTGTTAGCAAACTTGTCAAAGATGGAGATAACTGTGACTGGGAGTGTTGTCTCACCCTCAAATGTATTGAAAAAAGTCAATCAGGTCACAGAAAATGTTAATTTAAAAAAAGAACAAGATTGTGGTTTAGGAAACAATGTAGAAGTGCATTTAAAACTGAGATCAGAAAGCACGTCTTTACTCCAGAGGGTTGTGGGAGTTTCGAACAAGCTACCCAGCTACGTTGTTCAAGAAACAGCTGGATGAGATCCTCAGATCAGTTAATTACTGTACTTATAGGATTAGATACTCTGAATGGCCTTCTCTCGTTTGCATGTTTTCTTCTGTGATTCACTTACAGTATACCTTCTTTTTAATGTGCAGTAGCTGATTTGTAGTAGAGTGTGCTCATCCAGTTCCTTCAAGACCTGGAGTTCAAGTTCAAGTCGATTAACAGCTTAATGGCACAGAGTTCAGGTGCCAGCTCTGTAGTTTTGCCTGGTAACATGTTGAAACATGGTGGCAGCAATTGAAATGCAGCCCTAACCAGATGGTATTTTGTTTAGTTTCCAGAGAGGTTTCAAAAGAGGAAGAAAAAAAAAACTTCAGCGTGTGATTTTTTTTGCTTTCTGACAGGTGACAGGGAGAAAGTGCCTAACTGCACGTAGAGCAGTCAGGAATGAGTTTCACTCTTGATTCTTCAGGGCTAGTCTCCCTGTGAGGGAAGCATGCTGTTGCCAAATTAAGGATTATGGAGCGACACGCAAAAAAATAACAGCTGCGGAGAAATCTAAGAGCTGAATAACAGCTGTAGAGAATTATGTGAAATCTAATAGCTTACACACCATGTACAGTGATACAGAAACTAAATACAGTATCGTGTATCACTTCCATCATCTTTCCATTTTTCCATGAGCCCATCCTTCTCCTTCTTAATGGGGTTGCTGTACTTTGTGTTCCAGCTTTAGGAAAGAGGATTGTGGACTGCAAGTTGTTCAGCAGAGGAAGGAGGAGAGAGAGAGAAGATAGGGAGGGTTTCTGAGGTATTTCCACTAAACTGGAAAAATAAATGGAGAACATTTGAAGTCCAGTGAAAATAAAAATCAAAGACACTTTGATATTGATGCACATTTCACCAAAACGCTTAATGAGCGCTAATTAGGCACGGAGCGAACACTTTATTCTTATAAATAAACCACTTAACTGCAATAGAATTTAATTTTTAAAAGTTAAGTGGCAAACAAAGTCAAATTCACTGCAAAAATAAAACTCCTCCTTATGGGGAAAAATGCTCCGTAATGTTCTATTGAGAAATTAAAGCACAACAGGGGCCGGGCCAGACGCAGTGTAAGGAAGGACGTGTCACGGCGCGCACAGCGTCCGGTTGGGTTTGGGGTTACCGCTTTACGACACTTGGGTGCCTTGGGGGGGTCTTGCCATTCTGTGTCAGCGGCGAGGTCTGCACAATAGAGAGCATGGGGCGGTCAGAGGGCCCTGGAGAGACTTCAGATTGATCAACCGCAGGCCGTGTGCAGCTGAGGGGCGCTTACTGACCACGTGCCTACTCTTGAGTTGAGGAAAGTAGTAAAAGGACAAGCCTGTCCAGCATATACTCTGCTCAGAGCCACTGCACCCCAATAGCGGCAGTAATACACCGGACGACTTACAGTAGCTATGCTTCGAGCTCGGGCAGGTGAAAACGTTGGATTCTCCTGCTCTTTTCCATTTCCTGCACTATAATAGGAGTTACTAACATGAGACAACACTCCTGCATTTACGAGTTTATTTCAGCCCTTTCCTACTCTCTCATTCACCCCTGAACTGGTGTTTGCCTCGCTCCACAAACCGGTGGGAAAAAGGGTTGATGAAAAAACGATCGGCATCGGACGTCACCCCATTTCTTAATAAGTGCTTCACGTGAAGAAGGAGACCCACTTCATCCAGCACCGCAGTGCAGCTCCCTGCTGGCTGACGGTTAGCCAGCAGCAGGTCTGGCAGAGAAGTGGGCTATATTGCTTATTATATAGAACCTTAATATTGCTTCCCCAGCTGAATTAAAGTGAAATTTAAGAGGGGTCAAACCACAGTTTAATTTAATCAGAAAACAGAGTTGAAATCCCTGATCTCCTGCAAACAGTGGCATAGGATCTTTAATGACTAAGGCTACAGGACACTTAATCCTACTAAAGCACAATATCCCTGGTTACCATGCTGATCACACTGAACTTCATTCAGAACCTCGAAGTGTTTTACTTTATCCATTTTCAGCTGCACTACTCACAATGACCGGGCTCAATGACAGTGCGGTTCTTGAAAGGATCTGGGGCTTTTTTTTGCTGGAAGATGGCATACCGCAGTAATACTAGTTTTGAGGAATTTTATGACACTGAGCGATCCAGTCAATGACATTTACCAACTGTGTCCACATGGTGGCAACAGAACCTAGTTACAAATCTTGCTTCATACCTGCTGGATCATTTACAGCAGGAGTCTCCATTTACCCAGAGAGCACCAGCCCATTACTTTTCACAGGTAACCATGAAATCATCGATTTCTAAAGACATGGTGATACTTGTGATAAACTGCAGATTTTTTAGAAACCATTTGGAACAGACATAAGGAGCCTTTCAGGACCATTTTCCTTAACAGAGCACATGACTTGCTTAATAGATCGATTTCATAATTTTTAAGTATTCCCAGTGTTCACAAACAATTAACATCCACATGTGTCTTACTAGACCGGTGACCCCTCATTTAGAGAATTGCAGTGAACGTCTTTGCATTGGTTGTGTATTTTTGTTCTGTTTTTTTCAGCATGACTATGTTCCCCATTTTCAAAATAAATGTTTTTCTGTAACCAAATTACTTTCTTGGAAAGAGCATGTATAGCTAGAAATTTCTAATACACTAGGAAAACCATGATTACTCATACATAAAGTGAAATGACCTCAAATAAGTTTGGTTTCTGATTTTTATCCCAGCAGATGAAGTCAGTGTAAAGTCTGTTGCCCACAAGCTAAAGCAGACCTGAGCAAGGCCAGCTCAGGACACAATGAGACCAGCAGAAGATGGAATAGGGTTAATCCTTAAAATAGGTCAATAGCGGAATAACACAAGGAAATCATGTGTAATTTTGAGGATGAGAGCTGGAAACGGTTTAGCAAGGATTGCTCGAAAAACAAGTCCATGGGCAGCCAGCCAGTATTTTCCTCAGCACAATACAGAGCCACTGTATAGGAAAAGTATGTCACTGACTGGCTTTTTTGCAATCCTATTAGCTGAAAAAACTCAGCAGGTTTTACGGATGTTGCATGGAGCTGAAGGTCTTGACAATGACAACAGGGACCACCTTTAAGATGAACACAGAGTGCTGTCCCACTCCTATATATTGTATCACACATGCAGTTCATCCAGCAGCTTAGTAGGGTCTCTTCTTCTGAGGCACAATGGGTGGAATCTCTCCAGAGTCAGTTTGTGGCACCTATAGGATTGGGACACAAGGGAAGACAGCCCAATTTTGGACAGTCCAGAACTTAGGTTAAGAAAGTTTCTCAAAATTGTACAATGCAGTATATTTATTAAGACCAGTTTTAGAAATTTGTATCCAGTTTCAATTATCAAATTACAAAACAACTTGCTCTTCCAGAATCAGTTCAGACAGATGTAACCCAATACCTTCCTGGGCTTACAGGAAAAAGAAACCGCCTACCCTGGTGCTGAAGCATTATTGTCTTCTGCTCCAGTCAAGTTCTTGAACGCAGGCCAATTCAAGCTAGGGAATAACTTTTTTTAATCATTTTCAGCTCTCAAAAGCTCAAATGGGATTTGTAATTGGTGTCAACCCTGTACCAGTTTCTGAGTTTCAGATGTGCCATGCTCCAGGCGTGCTGCCTGAAATGTAACCAGGCTAATAAAAGCTAATTCTGGGAGTTCCACATGGGTCTGTTCATGATGAACTCATCATTATCGGTAGCTGTTGAGACCGAAGTAAGAAGTTGATGGAAACCTTAAAATGAACTTGTGAATGAGTGCCTTAGTACACGAACCATCAGTGTGAAAATAGAGGTCCGCTAACAATCATTGGGAACTTCAATCGTACACGGACAGGCTAAAAGAACATCATCTTTTTAGTGTGAAAGAGAAATCTACAAGGGAACCATTTGAGAGCACTCTAAATTCTCAAAGGCAATGATAAAACCAAACCACTGGACTCCTTCAGAATCAACAGCAACCCACAAACCTGAGGACACAGTTGGAAACAAGAAGCAACTGAAAACAGGAGGCGCTTTATTACAACAAAGGAGTTGCAGGGGCTGGAACAAGCTGCCCAGCCAAGAAACAACTGAATAATATCATTGGATCCATCAGCTAGTAGCATCCCAACAAGGTGGATGGTCTCTCACTTGTAACTTTTCACAAAAAAAAGAGGTGGTTTCAGCTCCGCAGGTGAAGTGCAGCTGTTTTTCTTTTCAGTATGAAATTAACCTCTGTTACTGGCAATGCACTCATTAGTCTGCTATAAGATCGAAGCACTGTGCAAAGACTGCTGAACCTCCACACCCAAAAGAGGAAACGTAGAAAACAGATTTAACATTGTATTGTCAGAAAGGTTAGTTCCACAAAAATAACACCTGAGATACAATATTTATGCATCTTACAAATACAGATTACATCAAGAACAAAAATGTTCTTTAAGTCTATATTGAAGATCTTGGTTTTCAAAGTACAAAATGCTCTACGGCGGTCCCCAAAAACAACAAATCTGATCAACAACTGTTACAAAAGCAAGTTTAAAGCAATTAAAACTTTCTCATTCTCTTACAAGTTAGGTATAATTACTACAAAACTTTTAACAAGAAAAACTTTAACAGTCGGAAAAACCACAACTGTCACCATGATCCCTTGTTAAAAAAAAATTATTAACACTGACATCAGTGCGTACAGGTCACAAGGACAAAAAAACAGCCATCAAGTTGCTACATAATGACAACTTGCATGAAATAAATGGAATGATTCTTCAATAAATAGACGCTTCAGCTCCTCTCTTCCCTTCTGCTGGAATTCCACATTCTCTGCCAACAGCACAACTGTTTAGTCAATAACATTGGGATGAACAGTCACAGGATAAGCTGTCCAGCAAGAACGCAGGCCCCCTCTTCCACCTCCTCCTATCCACAGACTCGGCTGAAGGCTCCTCCATCACTGTATTACTTCGAAGTAGTGCAGAATAGCCATGATGTGCTGAGGCATGAAGACATAGCCAGTGTAGACAGCCATTCCAGCCACAGAGATCAGGAGAGAGTCTGAACACCCCCGTTAAGGAATCAAGGGAAATTGAAAACGCGAGACAGGTGCAGTTCCTTACGTGAACCCCAACCCATTTTCCACCTTTCCATTTTGGCCTCGACTTCTCCACCCTTTTAAACCAAAGGTAGTCACGATATTAGCACAATATTGTGCCTGGTGCAAAAGCCATGCCGAAGGTTTTCAAAATTTCTTACTTTAGGATTTTACAGTATACTTGCCAGGTCTAAGAAACTCAGCATAATCTTTTCATTAATGTAATCGCCACAGCAATACACCGCAGGAAACCACTTTTATAACATGTTGTTGGTTTGCCTTGTAGCCTCATGCTCCGTAGGCTTCTCACCATGGCTGGAAGTCTTGAGCAGGCTTTTGGACAAAACCCCCTTTAAATCTTTTTAGATTTGGGTACCATGCCCAGTTTACCCTCCATTTATTGTGTCGTGCAATGTCCATCTGAGTGTTGTTTTACAACATTCAACTTCTAGGTTGAACACATGCAGTGTTGGAACTCTCTCTGAGATCTTCCATGTCCAAAATAAG